GATCAATGGCATTGATTGGCAAATTGCAGCGTGGCAAAGGCATGAAACAGGCATGAGATGATTTCTGATTTGTGAAACCTGTTAACTTTTCTGTCCTGTCATTTTTCCATAATTGATTTTCACTCTGTTCTCCGGGGGCATAATAACAATCTTTTATCAGTAACATTCAAGAAGAAATTATATTCTTATGTCTGAATGTTAAACCCTCATACGTGCCATTTGCTTTCTTGATAGTCGCCCGCTTCTATTTCACAGCATCGCAAACGCCGTTACTCAAATGTGGTAGGGATCTAAGAAAGAAAGTAAAGAAACAAATTAACAAAGCAAAATGCTTGTTTATAAGATACAGCTGTTCCAATCGCAGTTCATTAAATGAGATTTATTTGGGGCAAATCTATTACGCTCTGGGTTAACACCGTGCAAATTAGTCCCTATCTTGAGCTAAATATTGTGTTCGAAATAGATGAAAGTTTAATAACAGATCACAAAATGAATTAACTCATTTTAAAGAAGTTATGTACCTGACGCCTATTTTTATAGTGAACATGACTTAGCAGGTTTCTTTTGCAGGATTAACTACCACGCTTCTGCTAATGAATGACTTTCTTATCCATCGAAAATGTAATGTAGAAATCGCAACCTACATACCTTTCTACTTCCTGTGTTGTGTCAGAGGACTGAAGATTTGAACTATTTATGTACGTGACCACGGCTGTCCGGATTCTGCTAGCCCAGAGATGGAAAAAAGGCACAATTCTGACCAAGGAAGAGTGGCAGATAAAATTGATGAACTATGCTGGAATGGCAAAACTTGCAGGAAGAATTAGAAACCAGGAAGAGGCAGGTTTTAATAAAGAATGGGGAAAGTTGATAGCTTATTGGAAAACTTATTGTAAACAATTACATTCATTGGTAGGTTTGGCAGAAAACTTGTAGTAAAATTTTGAACTATGGATTGGCAAAGGGTTTAGAACAATATAGTTACGGAAGACATGCAGAGGGAAAATCATTCTATGAGGATCCACAAAGGATTGGGGGAAGGAAGTCAAATGGGATTTCATGTTTTTATTGTGTTTGATTATTTTTCTTTTGCTTATTGCATGTTAAATTGAAAATGCAAAAATAAATTATACCTATAAAAAAAGATTCGAACTCTCCAAGATAACCTTGCTGTCAATATTGTCCAATGGTCAGTTTAGAATATTATTCCAGATACCTTTCACTCATTTTTCCCCCAATTTCACTGCAGATTAATTCTGAAAGCCTTTTTATGCCATCGTGTTATTGATGTTTGCATTATCTATATGTGTGTAAATATGTTAACACCTCCACGATAATCTTATACAGTGGCACCTCGGGTTAAGTACTTAATTTGATCTGGAGGTCTGTTCTTAACCTGAAGCACCACTTTAGCTAATGGGGTCTCCTGCTGCCGCCGCGCCGCCGCTGCACGATTTCTGTTCTCATCCTGAAGCAAAGATCTTAACCCAAGGTAATATTTCTGGGTTACCGGAGTCTGTAACCTGAAGTGTATGTAACCTGAAGCGTATGTAACCCGAGGTACCACTATAAATTGATTCAGTCCCATGTCAACTCTCAGGCTGGGACATTCATGAAGAAATCCATCCTTAGCACCATGTAACTGGTTGGTGAAATCTAAATTACATCCCAGTTACCTAGTTATAACTAGAAAGTAGGAACCAGTTGAAGGAAGAGTGCACTGTCGGTTTGTCTTCAGTAGTGGAATAACTGGGGAGAACAGACACAAGATATCTTACAGGCCAATAAAGAACTGGACGTCGACTTGCTCAGCTAAACAAGCAGGTGGAAGTGAACTATGGCCACAGCAGGCAATGTTTCCCCCCCAAGGATTGGGTGTGGTAAACTCAGGACTCATCTACGCAGCTGCAAATAAAACGTTATGAATGTGTTGTAAAGCGCAATATACAAATGCAACACCAGCTGGCAACAATGAGCTCTGCAAAATTCAATGTATTTTTCAAAACTTTTTTAAAAAGCGTTTTCACAGCGTTTTTTTATATGTGTGTAGATTCCACCTAAGTCAAACACACACACCATTTCTTGGGTACAAATATCATACCCTCTAACATTCCTCAGATAAAATAGGGACAGGTCTCTGTCAGGAGCTCGTCCTACACTCGAGTAGGACCCTGGTAGAGACACATGCCCGACTGGCATGTTCCCTCCCTCCTGGTCGATCGTTTGGGAGCTTCAAAAGCTTTCTTCAGTCCGAACATCACACCGACCGATGCCAACAGACACCGGCACACTTAGGGATCTGCAGAGTCTGCGCAGTTCGCGTGACAGAACTCAGCATTTGGGCTAATCTACTTTATTTACATATGAACACACACGGAGCACTGCAACATGGCTCCCTCTCTCTCTAGCATCAGACAGCAAAGAGAAAAAGAACAAAGGACAATAGTCCCACTTCATGGAACACAGTAACACAAACATCCTGTCTCCGTCACTTCCCACTCTGTGGAGTCAAAACATATGCCATCATGTGATAGACAACAATCCCATGACTGCAATCACGGAGCAGGAATTCTAACAGTCTCACCCCTCCACCAACTGACCCTCTCCCCCTTTTTGTGTCCTCCACACAGAGCATTTCCTGTGCCTTCCACCATCCCAAGAAAACCGTGTTAAGTTTATCGCCCACCATCTCCCCTCTACTCTCTCCCCCTACCTCTGGATGTCATATTGTCTTACATTGAACGTAACCAAAATACTTTATAATCTGAATTTAAAGAGAGAGAGAGAGACTGAATGTTCTTTTGCAGTTCATGATAATCTTTAATAAAAATTATTGAAAGAAAGAAAACTCTTTAATCCTGAATTTATTTTATTCAGTGAAAAATTTGCAAAAAGAAAACACACACACCAATGATTTTTTTTTTTTTTAGAAAGGGGAAAGATTAGACATGGATATGCAAAAGCAGTAAATAATAATAATAAGAGGCTACCAAAGATGTTTTTTGAGATGGTGGACAATTTTGACCTGGTGGACATTTGGAGATTGGGGAATCCAATGGAGAAAGGTTTCACATTTTTTTCAGATGCAAATTGATCCTGTAGCCGCCTGGATTATATATGGCTAAGTAAAGACTTGACCCCAAGAGTGACTAAATCTGAGATTTGACCAAGGACTTGTTCCGATCATAACGCTGTGTTGACAGAGTTAAAATTGTCTCTACAGGGTTCTTTTAGATGGCGGATGAATGATGCTTTACTGAGAAATGATTTGATTGTAAATAAAGCTCAGAAGACCCTAAAGGACTATTTTGAGTTGAACCTGAATCCTGGAATTGAAGCAAGGGTCGTATGGGATGCAAGTAAAGCGGTAATGCGAGGTTTCCTGATCCAACACAACTCTATTAGGAAGAAAGCACAGAATGAGCAAAAGGGGGAAAAATTGTCTCAATTGAAGGAGAAAGAGAAAAAATTGAGATGCAACCTAAAAAAACCAACAGATTCAAAAAGAGATTAAGGCATTACAATTACAGTATGCACAAATAGTAAATCAAGAAATTGAATGGAAAATTAAATTGATGAAACAAAAGACTTTTGAATCGGCAAATAAATGCGGAAAATTATTGGCTTGGCAATTGAAAAAGAGACAGTAGGAGAGTACAATGATTAATATTATGGAGGATATCAAGACTCCTTGTGCTCTGCTCCACTCCCCCTTTCTTCCCACCCAGGGCAGCCCTGCCCTCTGCCTGCCCCCCGGACTTGGCAAGTCACAGTGGGTCTCGGTATCTGCAAACTCTCCGCCTCCTCACCCGCTATGCAGCTGCCACTGCAAGCTGCCCAAGGGAGGAGAGGCAACAGAGAGGTACAGGGACGCTCCCTCGCAGCCACTGTCACTTGGGACAAGCGCTGGCTCATCCTTCGCCCTGAGCTCAGCCTCGGCTGTGCTGGCAAGGGAAATTGGGACGTTCCGGGATCAAATCAGAAGCCAGGATGGCTTTCATAATTCCGGGACTGTCTCTGAAAAATCGGGACACTTGGAGATTATGAAAATATCTGGGTAGATTTATTTCACGATAAACAGAGATTCAGATTAATTTTGTTGTGGTTGGTCATCAGAACATCGCTAGAGTTTAACAGTATGAAAGCAACATCTAAGGAGGTTAACTTAGATTGGAAGAAAATGCAACATAAACAAATTTCCCTGGCACATCGCAACATGTTCCCTTTTTTAGAAAGTCCCTCTTTTAATGAATATTAAAAATGAAATGGAAGGAGATAAAAGGGATCTATGCAAATCTGAACAAAATCATCCAAACCTAAATAAACAGAAGCACAAAACACACTTAAAATTCTGAATCTCCCTGACGAGACACAGCGTTCTCTCTTAAGAATTTTGTCCTCTCATCAGTTATTACGGATAGAAAATGTGCAGTCTTCACCATCGTTTATTTATCTTGCTTGCCCAATGGATAAATTGCAGACCTCTCTCTGTCTCCACCTAAAATTTGCCCCAAAGTTTTTTTCTCTCAGTGTCCAATACGAAGGGCATTACAGTGGTACCTCAGGTTACATACACTTCAGGTTACATACGCTTCAGGTTACAGACTCCGCTAACCCAGAAATAGTACCTCGGGTTAAGAACTTTGCTTCAGGATGAGAACAGAAATCGTGCTTCGGCGGCGCGGCAGCAGCAGGAGGCCCCATTAGCTAAAGTGGTGCTTCAGGTTAAGAACAGTTTCAGGTTAAGAACGGACCTCCGGAACGAATTAAGTACTTAACCCGAGGTACCATTGTATATGATAAACCGCCTCTTCAATCTGGTTTAAACCACAGCGGTGGGTACTTTCAGAATATGGCATAATTCTGAGCCTCTGTTCCAGAGTGGAAGAGGGAATTGAATGCAAATCCTGAAAATAATACGGTAGCATAGGCACCACCATATGGGTGTGAATACTCGAGAAATAAAGTAGCACTCTACATTTGTGACTTCTGTGAGATGAGCCAGCATAGCTCAGTTGGTTAGAGCATGGTACGGATAACGCCAAGGTTGCAGGTTCGATTCCCATATGCAGGGCCATCTTTACCCAGGGGTGCAGGGGGTTCAGGGCACCTGGGCGCTGAATTCTGGGGGGCACCAAATGTATACCTACTGTATACTATTCCCTTTTGATCAGTGGCAGTGAAAAGCAATGGAGCAAAAGTCCCTACCCCCCCCCCCGTCGCTCTGTTACTCCGTAGCGTCAAATATTCCCGAAACAAAAGCAGTTATTTCCGCTATGTCATTGTTACAGGTGAGCGATTCTCCTCCCCCCAAAAAGGTCAACAACTTTGGCTTCCCCCCTTCCAAAGAAAGTTCAACAACTTTGAGTTCACCCCCCCTAAAAAAAAAAAAAATTGGGAGCAGCTAAACTAAATTTTGGTGCTGGAGGAGACTCTTGAGAGTCCCATGGACTGCAAGAACAAACCCATCCATTCTTAAGGAAATCAGCCCTGAGTGCTCACTGGAAGGACAGATCGTGAAGCTGAGGCTCCAATACTTTGGCCACCTCATGAGAAGAGAAGGCTCCCTGGAAAAGACCCTGATGTTGGGAAAGACAGACAAGGACGAGAGAGGACGAGATGGCTGGATAGTGTTCTCTAAGCTACTAGCATGAGTCTGACCAAACTGCGGGAGGCAGTGGAAGACAGGAGTGCCTGGCGTGCTCTGGTCCATGGGGTCATGAAGAGTCGGACACGACTAAATGACTAAACAACAAAAGCAAACACAAACTAAATTTGGGGGCGCTGGGCTGATCTTTGTACCCTGGAGGCACATATGCTAAAGACGGCCCTGTCCGTATGGGACAGCTGTGTATTCCTGCTTTGCAGGGGGTTGGACTAGAACAGCAGTTCTCAACCTGTGAATCCCCAGATGATGTTGGACTACAACTCCCATCATCCCTGAGCTCTGGCCTTGCTAGCTAGGGGTGATGGGAGCTGTAGTCCAATAACATCTGGGGACCCACAGGCTGAGAAAGGCTGGACCTTAGGGTCCCTTCCAACTTCTTTGATTCTATGATTCTAGGATAAACTTTCTGTTTCTAGCCAATAGGTGAACTCATAGCTGGGATTGAGGAGTGAGTTCATCATTGCAGAGGTGTCTGTGGAGGGGATATATTGATTGAAAATGTATTGTATTGTAACTTTTGAATATATTTTTTTAAAAAAGAGTGAGTTTTTGTAACACCAGGGCTCCTGAAAACTGCTGTGTCCCCCTACTTTTTGGTGCATTTTTTTCATTCTCCTGGTTCTTCAAATCTCTGTAGTTTGACCTTACTTTTTTCCTAGCGACCAGATTCTTGTGGCAGGTTTGTCTGAGATGAGGTACTCTCTAAATGTTTATTTCTGCAAACATTTCAGAACTCGAACATTATAAACCCGGAGGTAAATGCTTCCATTTTCGAGCACGCCTCAGAACTCAAACGGCTTCCGCTGAGTGTATATGTTATTTTTCTCAATTTTCTCTTTTAAATTTGCAGGCCGCCCTTTGCGCCTCAGTTTTTGAACGTTTCAGAATTCGAACGGTCTTCTGGAACGGGTTACGTTCGAAAACCGAGGTACTGCTGTACCCCAAAAGGACCCAGCTACATTCGTAAAGAGAAAGCGCTTTGCGTTATAACACCGTGAAACCAGATGGCGCTGTGGAGTCCCGTCTTTCGCCAATGGGATTTCCCTGTATGAAGTTTACAATGCACTAAACGGAATCGCTTTTTTGATGTGTTTAGATCAGGGGTCAGCAAACTTTTACAGCAGGGGGCCGGTCCACTGTCCCTCAGAATTTGTGGGGGGCAGGACTATATTTTAGAAAGAAAGAAAAAAGAACGAATTCCTATGCCCCACAAATAACCCAGAGATGCATTTTAAATAAAAGGACACATTCTACTCATGTAAAAACACGCTGATTCCCAGACCGTCTGCAGGCCGGATTGAGAGGGCGATTGGGCCGGATCCAGCCCCTGGGCCTTAGTTTGCCTACCCATGGTCTAGATCCAGCCTAAGCATTTGTGGCTGTTCAAGAATCTCTCTCACCCACCCCAAAGGGAAATGCAAAATATGAAGAGCTTGCAAAAAGATTTAACCATGTCTCCTGCTATACAGGAGCTAACAACAAGCATTAAAAACTTACAATCTGAACAGATTGCTCAGAAGTCTCTTTTGTTTTATTGGTGCTTCTTTCCAAAGAAGAGGGTGCAGAATTGCAACCTAGGCTGGGCTTTAGGGTTGGCATTGGGCGACTGCACACCTTTTGTGCCTTTATCAGCTGCATGGCAGACGGAAGTTCAACGGGTTAAGCCTTTTCTAGTATGGAAATACCATTATGGAAAAAGCTTCACCTATGCTATGGTACTACAGCGGCAAGAATGTTACTTTCCTAAAAATGGAAAGAAGCAGAAGTCCCAGCAAAGGAAGACTGGATACAAAAAATTATGGAATATGCAGAAATGAAGAAACTTCCCGGAAGAATAAGAAATCAAGACAATATTTTTTTATATATAAAAGAATGGAAATGATTTATTGAATATTTACAGATATATTGTAAACAGGTGAGAACATTGGCAGGATTGTTGTAATAACCTGCAGTTTTATAAGAGTATATATATAAAGTAGATAAATAAATGAGCAAATTAAGTTAACTTGGATATGCAGAAGATATTAAAAATAAATTCAAGGAACTGCAGAAAGAGGGGGAAGGAAGTCAGGTTTGGAAATGTTAAATGATTGTAAAATTAGTGAAATGTATAAATCTGAAAAACATAAATTTAAAAAATAAATAAATCCTGTGTTCCCCTACTGCTTCCTGACTATGCTGTCGACCCAGATACACTTAAGGAAATATATCCTCCAACATTTATCCGATTAAAATAGGGACATCCTATTCAACAACACCACCAATAATAATAATAATCGTAATAATAATGATTTTATTATTTATATCCCACCCATCTGATTGGGTTGCCCCAGCCACTCTGGGTGGCTTCCAGCTTATATAAAAACATTAAACATTTTAAAACTTCCCTATACAGGGCTGCCTTCAGATGTCTTCTAAAGGTTGTATACTTACTTATCTCCTTGGCTCAGGGGGGTCGGACAACTCCATATCCTCCAACATTTCTCCGATGGAAATAGGGACGTCCTAAGGAAAAGGGGGCATTCTGGGATCAAATCAGAAACTGGGATGGGTTCTGTAAATCTGGGACCTTTCCCTTAAAAATAGGGTCACCTGGAAGGTCTGAAGGAAACATTGCAACATTGGATCAGAAGGTTGGACTTTTAGAGCTGAAACAAAAAATCCACATTACTGCTTAAGTGTAAATTGGGAAGTACCTTATTTTTCCGTGTATAAGATGCCCCCATGTATAAGACGCCCCATACTTTAGGGGACCCCCAATTTAGAAAATGGGCATATGCACTATCCGTGTATAAGAGGCCCCCAGATTTTTAACCTTATTTTAAAGTAAAAAAAAAAAACATGTCTTATACACAGAAAAGTACGGTACAGTGGAACTTCGGGCTGTGAACTTGATCCGTGCGGGAGGCACGTTCGCAACCCACAGTATTCACAACCCACAGTGCCGCATCTGTGCATGTGTGGGTCACGATTCAGTGCTTCTGCACATGCACAAAGTATGATTTAGTGTTTCTGAGCATGCGCAAGCGCCGAAACCCAGAAGTAACCCATTCCGGTACTTTTTGGTTCGGCGCAGTGCGCAACCCGAAAATGCGTAACCTGAAGCGTCTGTAACCTGAGGTACCACTGTAATTCCCTTGATTTCAATGCTGGTGCGCTTAGGAATTGGATATTATTTTGATGTGAGCAGAGATGCATTGTTCTCCTTTGTAAGTTGTACTTTCTTGATTGCAGGTAGATTAATCTCTGCCTTTATCTGAAGGTTACGTGGTCGACGGGCCGCTGAATCGAATTCTTGTGAGATGATCATTTTGGGAGGGCTCTTGCTCTTTCTTTGGACGTCCACCTTAGTTTCCTTATATAAGTCTTTCCCGGCCAGCTTATTTCTTAGCGTTTCTAATCTTTCTAGGATTTCAGCTTGTATTAGAGGTGGAAATGTCCAGAACTGACTAATTATACCTTAAAAATGAAACATAGAAAACCCAAACAGCTTGAAAATATAATTATGGGGGGGGGGAGAGGAGGAGCAAACCCTTCTGAGTTTTGCAAAGCCTGCGAAAGCGAAAATAAACGTTTTATAAGTTTCACAAAAGAAACCTCAAAGAACACAAGGCTTGCCCAGCCCTAATTATTTATTGTGAGTCATCAAGAAGAGGGCTCCTCCCTGACCTTGCTGATAAACCCATTGCCAAAAATCCAGTGTACCTGCTTTCCTTTTCATGTTTGTTGTTCGGGAGTTGTGCCACCTCCAGGGATCATAGGGCGTCGGGCTCCACCAGAAAGAGCAGTCGGTTGAAAAGTCCTTGGAGGATCTTGTAATCCTCAGCATAAAAAGGTGAATGAAGCAGCCAAGCTGCACAAACAGTCCCTGATTCCCACTAAAGCCATTGGTGTCTATTTAAAAATAAACAAATTCTATTTTTTTGCTCAGGGTCACTACACTCTTTAAAAATTACAGGATCTCTGATTATTTCTCTCTCTCTGGCAATTATTCCACTTTGGATTAAAAGCTCTCTTCAGCCAATCACAAAAATGTTGTCTGTGCATTTTTCAAAATGTTTTATTATGCACATACAGTAAGAGAGATTTACAGCATATACATGCTTTTGATCAGGGGTAGGCAACATAAGGCCCGGGGGCTGGATGTGGCCCAATCGCCTCCTCAATCCGGCCCACGGATGGTCCAGGAATCAGTGTGTTTTTACATGAGTAGAATGTGTGCTTTAATTTAAAATGCATCTCTGGGTTATTTGTGGGGCATAGGAATTCGTTCATTTCCCCCCAAAAAATATAGTCCGGCCCCTCACAAGGTCTGAGGGACGATGGACCAGCCCATGGCTGGAAAAGGTTGCTGACCTCTGCTTTAGATCATAGACTCACAGAACTGCAGACTTGGAAGGGACCCCAAGAGCTATCTATTCCAACCCCCTGCAATGCAGAAATCTCTGCTAAAGCATCCATGACAGATGGCCGTCCAACCTCTGCCTTCTCAGTAGTCACACCTGCCCTGTAGAACACCCACCTGTCAGATGCCAAGGAATTACAGTGGTACCTCTGGCTGCGAACGGGATCCATTCAGGAGGCCCGTTCGCAACATGAAAAGAGCACAACCCGCAGCGGCGCATCTGCGCACGCACAGGTTGCGATCCGGCGCTTCTGCGCATGACGTCATTTTGCGCTTGTGCGCATGCACGAGCGGCAAAACCCGGAAGTAACCCTTTCCGGTACTTCCGTGTCGCCGCGGGACGTAACCTGAAAGAATGTTAACATGAAGCGGACGTAACATGAGGTATGACTGTAAATAACTATCTGATGTTTAGAAGATATCTGAAGGCAGCCCTGTATCAGGAAGTTTTTAGTGTTTGATGTCGTACTGTGTTTTGATTTGTTGGAAGCTGCCCAGAGCAGCTGGGGAAACCCAGTCACATGGGCAGCATATAAATAATAAGTTGTTGTTGTTGTTGTTAGGGCTTTTTTTCCAGCTGGAACTTGCTGGAACTTATTTCCATAATATCTCAGGTGGGTGCCATTGCCGTTCTCTGAGAACGAAGGAGGTGCTCAAGGTGAGACCAGCCACCTCTTTTTCAAGAAAAAGAGTACTAATATTATTATTATTATTATTATTATTATTATTATTAACATCCAAGGAAACAGAGTCCACAACCTCCAGAGGGAGACCATTCCATCACCAGTGAAAGTCTATTTACCATGTTATGTGAGATTATCAAATAAAGTCTGGTCTTTTGCTTTAGCCCTCTCCAGTCCATGGTAGCAATGGAGAAAGCCTTCCCAAATATTGCTTCTTTGATGCAGGCCATGAAGGTGATTATATCTGGCTTGAAGCAGTTTCCTCCTGCTATACCTGGTATGACATCTGAGCCCTTTTCTGGACACTGAAGATTTGGCCGTGATGATATAAGCCACAGAGATATCGCTCCCATTTACAGTATTTCAAATGGTGTCTGTTTCTAAACCCTGCTTCACAGTTCCGATTTTGACCTTTAAAGCTCTGTGTATCCCCAGTCTGGAACATCTGAAAGTCTGTACCCTCCAGGCTGCCTTTCTTTTAGCAATACCTTCTCTATGGGCCTCCCTTCTATTCTACTTTCAGGGATCTTTTTTTCTTCTTCTTCCAGGAGCTTTCAGAGAAAAGCACCTTGCTGTATTGAACTAGTGTCAATTAAATTCTACATAACGAAACAAAAAGCACGAATGAGCTGCCAGAGTTGAGCATCTTGAGAGACCATCAGCAACGCATTTTTGCACAGAGGTAAATCCTATTTAGGAAGACACCAGCATTTCTGGGTGAGTTTTTCTTATTTTAGCATAGTGGTACCTTGGTTTACAAACTTAATCTGTTCCAGAAGTCCGTTCTTAAACCAAAGCATTCTTAAACCAAGGCGTGCTTTCCCAAAGCAGCGGGGAACTTAATTTACACTCAACAGGAAGCGGAACATGTTCTGCTTCCAAGGCAAAGTTCACAAACCAAAACACCTACTTCTGGGTTTGCAGCCTTCTTAATCCAAGTTGTTCATAAACTAAGCTGTTCTTAAACCAAGGTACCACTGTACTCATATTTCACAGATTCAGGCGTGTATATTGTTGAAACTTCTTTTTGGGTATTATTTCAGTGCTGCGGGCTGCTGAAGTCTGAAAGGGACTGAGCATTTGCAGGAATAAAGAAATGTCAAAAATCTGGTCTCCAAAGAGGGAAGGGGTGGCGGTAAAGATCCCAAGGGAAAATTCAGCCCTGTGAGTAACATTTTGGCAACCTCAGGCATTGGTACTCCTTAATGCTTCTCCACAAAGTGCTGTTTATAAAAGCATTAGGGAGACAAAAACCTGATACCGAACTTACATGTCCGCCCTTGTAAGAAACGATTTGGGAGAATCTTATGCCCTTGCTGAGTAAGGTAAGGAAAAGGGTGGGGCCGCACATTTTTATTTGAACAATAGTTAAGCGAAAAGCCACAGCAAAGGGATGCCTAGAAGAAAACACCCTCCTGTCACTCTTATCTGATCCAAGGGCCGACATTCAAGTTTCGCCTATACGCACACATTTTTTGGACTCTCTGCCACACACAGAGATTTTAATTCATTAAGTGGCGAGCATGAATGAGCTATCGCGGTGGAGCATTTTGAAACCACCAGGCATGTCAACAAAATCTACCCACGCCCTAAAAAGGGATTTATGGAATGCAGCCGATATCCCTGTTTTTCCGGAAGCACGTGAGGTCTCCCAAACCTGGTGGGAATAATGGCTGTTATTTATCTATTTCGTTTATGAATCGTGTCCCATAAAATGCCCCAGAGCAATGTCACAATGAAAACAGCAGCCATTAGAACGTATTTCAGGTCCAGTCAGATACAGACTGGGATAAGAATCTTGCTGAAAGAGCAAGGTCTTCAACACCAAAAAGATAACAGAGATGGCACCTGTCTGATTTGTAATGGGGGGAGATCCAGGAGGGGTCAGGTGCTGCGACACCAAAGACCCTGTTCCTACACTGCATGGACAGAACCTCTGATGAGATGGTATCTGTAAGAGGCCCTCAGTCCCCCAAAGAGTAGTTAGGTTATCCTAAGGTCCCAAAAGAGCCATAGGTATCTTACCAGGGGAAGGTAACCACCTGGGTCTCTAACAACTTGGGTCTCTAATGTCTGATGAAGCCAGGAGCACCCCCAGATGGTGACTTGAGGATGTGATGGAGTCAGAAAACTGACCTCACTGCCATGGAGTAGACACAATTATGGGCTCTCACTCTGGTTTGGTTGGTTTTGCCGTGCATCTTTCGCCAATTGAACTCTAGGTAAAGGTAAAGGTACCCCTGACCGGTAGGTCCAGTCACAAACGACTCTGGGGTTGCAGTGCTCATCTTGCTCTATAAGCCAAGCGAGCCGATGTTTGTCC